TGAGATTGCTCATGACCATCTCTAAGGGGAATTTGGGATTTGAATGACCACTGATTCAACATTTTTTTTTTCTATTTTAGCAGAATAAAATTGATGGGCTTCATTCAATTCTTTGCTGCAGGCCTAGGGTGCTGCTATGAATTTTGACAGTCATGTAGGTTTAGTTTCAACCGTAAACTGTAGTTTCCTTTTCTCTTTTGAATAAAACCATGAACAATACTTCATGTTTGGTTTTGTTATCTATCTATCCATAAGTATAAACTTTATATATTCTTCCCTTTGAATTTAGACAAGCACAGTTCACATGGAGTATTGTATTCTGAAATAGAATTCTCATCTTCATTTGCTGAATAAAATTTCGTCTAATAAGCCAAAGAAAGAAAAGCAAACTTTAATACCCTTTTCCAAGGAGTTGTCATCTGTGTCTAATACCATTAGTTATGTCTTCATCCTGTGTTTTCTAGCATGTGTATATATATATATTGAAGCTCTCTTTAAACCCATTATTAGTACAAGAATATCAATAAAAGCTGCACTAGTTGCCAATGCAAAGCTATTGAATTTCCATGGATTAGGTTTTCTCTTTTCTTTCTTCCCTCCTCTCTAACTCTCCCAAATGTCTATCCCCCCCATAGATAAATGCATGAATTTTACTCAAACTCAGCTGCAACAATTGTACAAATATGATTAAATCAATACTACTGTTATTGTAATCATATGTAATATAATAATATTGTAATTTAACATAATTTTACTGATTTAGTTTAAAATCTGTACGATAAAACATGATTTGAAAAAAAAAAAACCAATTCAAAAATTGCATCAAAAATATGAAAGGAAAATGGACACTGCCAGTCCTTCATTTTTAAGAAACTTTTAGAGCAAAAGAAGAATGTAGCCTAATTGTCTCTAGCAAATGAAATCCAACTTGCCTTTCGGTCTACCAAGTCCCCACTCTACAAGCTATCAGGCCCAAAAGATGAATTTGGACCACCATCTTTTTGCCCTTTTCTTTCACTGCCTAATTTACTTAATTAACAACCCTACAGTAATCTAGCTAAGAAAATAAAATACAATAAAATTAATGTACAGAGATAGAGGTCCAAATACATATACCAAATATCAGATATTGCATGCATGGAAGCAGAATTAATTGACAGATTGTTTTGGTGGTGAAGGGGGGAGTGGGGGAGGATCACATTATTTTTTTGATTTAGCAATTAATTTTTTCTGCCTGTTTTGAATCTGGGTTTTGATTATGTTATCTTCTTTTCAAGCTTTGAATACCTCTTAATAAATAATGGCGACTCGAAGGGAGTAAAGCCAACTACCAAACGGCTAATGAAAACCTGCAGTTGCCCTTTGGAAGAAGCAGTTTGCTTCTTCACAAGTGGCACAAAAGGATGAGCTATGTGTTTGCAAATTCATGGTGGGGTTTTAGGCTTTGACGACTAAATGTGTGCCTTTTAAACTAAAACATGTTTGACTTTACCTGTTTCAGCACCTGTCTTTAAAATCAAACAAATTCAACATACTCCACAGAGGACAATTTTGAAAGACAGCATCTTTAACTTGTAAGAAGGCCAACTATCTTTTTTTTTCCTTTTTATCTTTTTTTTTTCCCAATTTTTTAAAGATAGTAAAGACCCTTTGATTCATATGAATTGTGTTTACATATTTTAAAAGGATGGTGAGTGGAGAAAATTCAAGGGAAGGAAAAGTTGACACCTAAGACTTGATCGATTTTGATGTAATTTATATTATTCATGAGTAACATTAGAATCAGGATTTATTCAAGAAAAGAAAAGAGAGTGTTTAAATTTTTAAAAGAAAAAATTACAATCGTTAAGAAAAGTCTAGATTGTTACAATGAATTGAATTGACGATTAGTTAGCTCCAACTTTATTGAAAATTAAAAATAGTTGAAAATTTAAGAGAAATGTTTGTGCTTTTAACATAAAGGATAAAGGGTAATTAAGTTGAGGAGCTTGCTTTGAAATGTATGGGTTTGATGAACAACAGCTGCCTTCTTCATTAAGCAGGGTTTCTGTTTGACAACAGATAATAAATTTAATGAAGCTGTCCTTTGCATAATGCAACAGTTTCCCCCAAAGACTTGGTGGGGGCTGTCATCATATCTGCCTCTGGCTTGGTCTTTCCATCAACCCCCACCCTAAAAATCAAGCCTAATTATAACACATTAGGGCCATTGACTTGCTCAACTTGGTGCCTAATTCACTTAAGAAGCTTTATAATGGCCAAATTATGGTGATGGAGACATGTTCCTTTTGATCCAAAATAACCCCAAATGCAAATCCCTCCCCCTCCCCCCCCTCCTCCCTAGCCCCTTGTGCTTGAGCTCTTTGTTTTTATTTGTGGCCTATGGACCAAATACCAGATGGCAAGTGCTTCAATTATGGTTTTTTTTGGCTTCATTGCTGATAATTACATTGTAAAATCAGCTATTTCTTTGACATAAGGCAACTCTAACTAATTGGTGCAGGATGTCCACATCCATACTTGGTCAATCATCTTTAGTAGTTAGTACTTAATCTTAAGTTAAAGTTAAGCAAAATGCACACGAAAACCTTGTAGTACAATTTTGGAGGTCGCAAGTTTCATAATTTTTCATTAAATTTGAAGAGTTCAAAGAGATGAGGGAGAAAACCTTTTTTGACATTTGATTGTACATCATGTTCAGAATTATTATTTTTTTGTTAGACTTTTGAATTGTATTTTAAATGTGTACTTTTATATGTATCTATTTCTGAGTGAATTATCTAATTATGGTGCAAGCACAGCAATGATTTGAAGTATCACAAAAGTTGAAAAAAAGTAAAAAGTAATAATCTGTTTGATTTTTAAGATGGATATTTAATTTAAAACTAATAAATATTTAGAATATTTTTAATTTAATAAATATAAGATTTTTTTTATTATTCTCACGTGTATAGATCACAGACTTATTACGATATATGAATTAAGAAAGAGAGCTTTCAACGGCATCAACAGATGAGCACAATGCTTATTTTGATATCATAAAACGAGTATTTCGATCGCTTGCTAATAATACAGATAAACAATAACTTGCAAAAGTAGGATTGTAGCATCAATTTGAGTGCTTAAACCTTCCAAAAATCAATAATTTATCATATGTTAAACGTACTGCCATCTTCCAATTTTCTCTCCTAAAATGGAAATGAAAAGAGAATTTAGGATGAGTCCCCCAAATCCCAAACCCAATCCCATTGTTTTAAAGATGATTTGGAGATGAAGAAAGAGAGAGAGAGAGAGAGGGGAATAATGATAAAGAAACACTGTGGATAGCATGGTGGAAGAAAGGGGGCTTGCCTCGATTTGACAAGCAGAGCATAAATACCATCCGAAAACAAGTCTGGTTTGAGTGCATGGTGAAAGGGATGCACCGCCCATAATAGTAATATGGCAACATCATGCTTTTGCATGCCTCTCCCTTCCCCACCCTTTTCCATTATTTTATATTAATATGCTCCGTAATGCCACTAATGAAAGCCTTTTTTCTCGCAATTGATGCTGATTTCTTACCCATTCCCATCTCTTTCATCATTTTGTTTGAATTTTCTTTTTTAAAAACTTGAACGGTTCTTTTTAATTAAGAAAACAAAAACATATTTGTTAAGTAGAAGCAAGACTTTTACTTATGAATAATACTGATGTGAAATCTGAAACATTAACAATATTTTCTGAAATCTTTAAATTTTTTTCAGAGTCATTTTGATTTTAGTGCGATAAAGAACAAAGAAAACTACAATAGATAGATAGGGCCATTATGTAAAGTGTGATTCAATGAAGTTGGATTTGATTCATGGATTTGACCAAAGGCATTCGTACCAAAAATGTTTGGCTTCAAGGAAAAAGAATTATTGCTCTTCAATTGAGACACTGAAACTTTCAAGGTCATTCTTCACTCACACACTCCCCTCTCTCATTAGGCTATCCCTAAACTATTATTCCCCCTTAGAGGCTTTTTCTTTTCCCCGCAGATTTTGTGAAATATTGGCTAGCAAAATGATTTGAGGTTTGGCTGAACGGTCTCTCAGTTGGAAACCATAGCATACAAAATTAAGAGGTTCCCTGAAAATCACAAACAAAAAATGGGGAATATACTAGTATTAAATGAAATAATTATGAGAATAGGAAACAGTTAAATTTTTTTATCACGAAACTATTATTTTATCTCGAAAAGTTAATTCTGGTAAGCTGGTGAGGTTGATCGAGATTTCTTTATTTGATGATGTTAACATTATTTTACCTTAAAAAAATTAACTTGACTTGGCATATAGCGTTGAATTGTATAAACTTTTCAAGATTTTCATGCTTGTGGAACTGACACTCTTCCGGTCTATGACAAGCCCCAGTTAACATGTGCACGGTTACTAACTAGGATTTGTAGTGCGTCCCGGATGGGCAAAGCGATGGACCAGAAAAGCAGAAACATCGAAAATGGCTGCTGTCAATATTTAAACGACCGCTGCAGACCGGCATGTGCTTAGACTCCGAGGCGAGGCCTCCTTCCAGGGGGAATTCACTTGGCTGTCGCCTCGGAAGAGATCAGATCACGAGATCTATCTATCTATCCAAGGATGGGCCTCCTTTCCTTCCTGCATCTCTCGGTTTTTAAAGCTCTAGGTATCAACCAGTACAATCTTCTTTAATGGCTGCTTTCTGTCCAATTTTTTAAGATTTAATGCACTCTTATTGTTGCCATGCTTTGAGCTAAGACTAGGTACATTGTTTTCGGATACAAAAATAGACCCAAATGCATTAAACTTGTAATACTTACAAGATTTTCTTCCAAAAGAATGGATAAATTTCTTAAACATTTAGATAAATATTAATAACACTGATCGAGATAAATTTTTAATTAATAAGTAAAAATCTTCCTTCATCTTTAACAGAAAAGATTTTTTCTTAGAAATGTAAGTCCATGACCTTGACACTAACTAAATTCAAAATAGATATTAATTAAAATTAATATTAATTAAAATTTTCAATAAGAACAAAATTAAAACTTTTCTCGAACTTGTAATAGTTACATGAGCTTGCCCCTCTAAATCCATGTCTACATGAATCTTTGATCTCTTCTTCCTATTCCCGGAGAATTAGAACTTTTATAGCCTTTTTTTCCTTTTCCATCCATGTCTTATGATCTACACGGTTGTCATGCCTCTGGACATATAACGACTGCTTTTCACCGAGGGCCAGATGAAGCACGAGGTTTTCCCTTTATTGAGTTCAGGTGTTGAGTGACAAAGATTACTCCCATCACAAGTAAGAGGCAGCCAACCAGTGTGCTGAAGAAGAGGGCACCCGGCTGCCTGGTCTGGACAAAACCGTACACGCCACTGGAGGTCACGAGAATGAGGTCGGTGAGCCCGTCGTTTGAAAAATCCTCAGAGATCAGGGCGTGGGTGGGTTGAGCAGGAAGATCGATTGATGTTAATATACTACCTCCGGGAGAAATAATTACACCTGTTTGGTCTCCTGCTGCAAGGATCATTTGCTGATTGTCATGCATTCGCAATGAGATCAACTTCAGGGTTGGAACCACTGTACCACCTTCCATCATCCCTGAAGGAGAGGGAAGATTTGACCATGTAGCATCTGTCAAGAGCTGCCATTGCCAAACAGCATCATGCCCGTGCAAGCCAGGAGAGTATGCAGTTACCTGAAAGGATTGACACAGTAAGTTGCTAACTCTTCAGCATATAGATAAAATGTAACATGCACCTCGCAGCCTAGGACTAGAAAATGTAACAATACGCGCTTCACCAAATGTGAGTAAATGACCTCAATCTTTCCATGTTCACAGGGAACATGAAATAAGGATGGTTTCTGCCTATAAATTACTTAACAAAAACTTCCAGAAAATCCCAAATCAAGGACTATATTTGAATAAACTTCAGAGTCGTAGATTCAAATAAAATAACAAAAGATCTTTTTTCAATTTTTTTTTAATAAAAAAAATTCTGAATTCAAATGCATTCAATCCAATTTCACAGTAGCTACAGAAAGCAATTAGACTTAGAATAACAGCATACCTCTCCTCGATTTGTTAAGAAAATAACATCACCATGACTCCCCTTACGATGCCTATGCCCATCACTTTTAGGAATGAGAATCGGTGTGGCCACTTCTAAAGAGGCAACATCTGTACTTCGACCAAAATTTCTGTAGAACTCTCCATGTTGGAATAAATTGAAAGGGGAATGATGACATATTGAAGCATTAAAAAGTTGTTCTCGAACAGGCACTCCAGAGGTTGCCACAGCCCAACAAGGTCGCAGAACATCCATTGATCCACTTACAACAGTCTGCTCAGCCCCATTTCCTCCAACAGCCTTAGGAGAACCAATAAATGGTCACATCTGAAGTAGTTAGCACTTTGGTACTAATGCAGTTTTTCTTCTTACATATGCATTACGCACAACAAACAACAATTTAGTACTAGGTGATCTTAAAAAAAAAAAAAGATAAAAGGGGACAGCTTTCACCTGTACATGATCTAGGACTCCATCCCCATTAATATCAGCATGAAGGCCACCTTCTTGAAGATGAAGCTGATGAAATCAATAAAACATTACACATCAATTTGTTAGGCAATATACGATCCTGATATATAGCATGAATAAATTGTATTTAAAAGCTAACAGAAGTTCAATTTAACGTTGTTATGCATATTTCGTGATGTAAGGAAAAAAAAAAAAAAGAAAAGAAAAGCTGAAGATAAGATCAAGACACAGGCTGACCTCTTCGGTTTGCAAAAGTAGCATTTCATATTAACAGTATTAAAAGAAATTCAGACAAACAAATGGCATATTACTTCAGCAGATTTCAGAAACCACAAGATTTCTTATATCTAACAGCACAGTGTGTGGGTTTAAGGTCACCTTGCATATGGTTCGACCAGATGCCAAATGAACAGCTTCTATCCCTTCCTTTTGATGGGCCACAACAACATTAGGAATCCACCAGAGCTGTGTGTAGTTTGTTATGGTTGGAATATAAGACATTGGCTGCATCAAAAAATGTAAATAAAGAAATTAGAAGGCATTTATAAATGAACTTTATGCTTCATACTCTTAAGATATGCAGAAGAAGATAGTTGATCAAGGTAAAAATAATAAAATAATTATTGAGAACATACTTGATAAGCATTATGTAACAAAAATTTCAGTTTATAATATATCTGGAAGTCACTAAAGACGAACTGATATGATGATAAAATTGAGTGGTCATATGATGTAACTGAAAGCTTTCAATAAATAAGTTTGTCACAGGGTTGGCAAACTAGTGCATAAGACTGGCTAAGTGCAGCAGCAAAAGGTTACAGTTTGATGATGCATTATAGCTATTAAAAAAGATCTATGCAACCAAGAAAAACAGAGAAACAAAAGAAAAGAGGCGCATAAGACAAATCTTAGGTGCTGTTCCTGAACTACTTGTTGAACAGCATCACAACTAAAATAAAACCAACCAAATAACTAAAACATCTTCATGTCCAAAGTCTTCTGAACTTCAAAAGGAAGGTTTAACAGCAGTATGCATATCACATCGGCAAACTTACCTTCTTAGATTTTGCTGAACTGGCATACTTCGCAGCTTTTCCAATCAAGTTTGAAATTTTTTTTGTTTCATCCTTCCCTGGAGGATGGTGCTCCTCAGGCTTGTGAAAAGGATAGGTTGTCGACTTTCCAGGTACTCTTTTCAATGTTTTCCTCTTATGCCGCTTGAAATGTGACAACTTCAACAATGTATCTTCTCTCCTATCCTAGTGAAACAGATAGATTTAACATGAATTTCTCACGTACTTGAGAATAAAATGAACAGAGTAAATGTTCAAAATTAGCATGTACTACTACATGCTTACCCAATGATGTGGCATAACTCCAAGGATTGATTCTCTGAATTCCCTGCATTCAAACTACAGTTCAACATTTATAAGAGATTTATACTTGGGAAAGATTCGACTAGACTGGAAAAGAACAATTTCAAAAGGATTAGTACAAGCGATCACCTAGAGTAGGGGAAGTGCTCTAACAAATAAACATACCAACATAATTAGCAAAATAGCCAGAACTTAGATTAGTCAGAAGTTCAACAAAATGTACAACTCTGTGAGCAAAAGTGTGCTCTTATAGCTGATGAATTGAGACTTGTCTTTGATGAAAATTTGACTCAAAGAAATGGATGATGAGACCAGAAAACAGACACCAAGTTGGAAACAATCAGCTGCCTATAATTTTCACTTGGACCATGATGAGCCTATTACAAATAAGATTTCAGCTACTATTATATTTTTCCTCCAAAGCAGTTAAAGGTTATATCTACCTTCAGAAAATATAATTATCCAGATGGATTTAAAGCATACCTCACCAGGATGACGACTGTTCAGAGCATGCGCATCGAGCTTGTAGTTATGTTGTGGAATTAGCTGTGATGGATCTGAAGAATGTTCTTCAACATTCTGAACCAACAAAATGATCATATTAGCATTGAGAAGATAGGTGATAAAAGCACCACACTGGCAACCAGGTGACAAGAATTATAAATATGCATATACATTTTCTCAAAACCTAAACATATAGTGAAAGTTATGCCAAATTGCAAAAAGAAGTGTACAGACAAATAATGATGAAATTAAAAAAAAAAAAAAAGTTACCTCATTCTTTCTAGACCACCGAAGTCCACCTTTTCGTCCATCGAATGCATAAAAAGCAAAATGACGTAAATTAACAGTTCCAGAGTTCTCAGAAGCCTATTAAGGATACAAGGTGTCAGTATTCAAATCCTGAAACTAGAAGTGACATCTTATTCCTAATGATGAACATTTTGTCCATTGAAGATTGGGGGGATCATTCTCACATGGAGAGATAATAGAAAAATAAAAACTATGTCCAACTTTGACAAGTGCAGATGGTTAATGCAAAAACATCGGTTTTTAAGTATTTGTTAGACAAGTTTAAAAACCCTAAAGTAGCAGAGTAAGAAATGGACAATGATACACCCATACCTCCTTTTCATTCGCACTTCTTCTATGCTGCTCAGCATTTCGTTCAGCCATCCCAATTTCTTCAAAAGGATCTAGGTATATCTGAAAATGTTAATGAAACTTGTTAATAAATCAAAGAGAAGTAATGCAAAAAATCCACTTCACACATCATATATCCAGATCTTAATAATATTAAACACTAGGATACTAACAAGTGATAAGAAAAATGGTTCCAATACAATTGAAACATAATAGTTCTCAGAACCCTGACTCAAGGAACAGAAATGTACAGCTAGATTTTGAAAATATAACCAGAGAAAGAATAAATGCTAGTAAGACAAGAGAACTTAGCAAACATACATGGGGCTGCATTTCCATCCTCCCACCAACAATGACTAAACCTGAATCCCCATGCCTCAAGGTGTAATTGCTTATCGAAATCGCTATCTCCCTATGATGTGCATTATGGGGAAAATCTTCCTGTCCAACACGACAAAGCCTCAAAAGCATCAGAACCAACACCACTTGACAAACAATCACAGAAACATCAAATACAAGCAAGCAAAGTGTACAGACCTGCAAATTATTCTCCCATAACTTTTTGAGATTATGGTCGAAACACATGACAGACCAACCTGAAGTAACAACAACAAGAACCTGCTTCTGAGGTTGTCCGGCCTTATAAGTTCGGTCTATAACACCAGTGGCCATGGCCACGGGACGTCTACCGGAAGCAACCCTGATCTTATCAGGCAACAAGGAAACTTCTGCCAGCAAACGCGCTTCACTGAACCCCTCATCCACACGCCGCGCATGTGGCTCCAATACCTAGTAGGTTCCAAATTCAATCAAATTTATTCTTTACAATAAGCTTCATTTTATTTTTTTTTGTTTTAATTAATTTATTACATAAAAAAAATGAATAACCTCAATTCTGGCATCGCGAGTGGCGACGAGGATTTCTTTCTTTCCATCACCATTTAGATCGGCGACGATAGGTGGAGGGAGACGCTCCGCTTCGTATTTGATCGGATGTTCATCGGATAAATGAAACCACGCTTCTCTAAACGAGAAATCTCCCTCGTGCTATACCAAAAAAAAGGTCAACTCGAGTAAAATTAGCATGGAATTGAAGCGCCTAGGTGTTTTTAGGGTTTATGGTTTGAGTTCAGTGGATATTATAATTATAGAAAGTAAAAGTAAAGATAAACAACAAACTAAAAATGGAAGTAAAAGAACCTGAAGAGAGAAGAATATGGCGAAGGCGGAGAGCATAAGGATCGCTAAATCTCGTTTCCTCATGGTGGTTCCGAGAGTTGGAGTCGCGGCTCGGTTGACGGATCAATGGCTGAATGGGTACAGCTGACAGCAGATGTAAACACTGGAAACATAGAGGCGGTTCGAGCTCAGCTGAGGGAGACGAACCATGCACTGCACTGGACTGGACATTAGGGCCCGGGCCGGTAAGTATGAGAAACGAGGTTGGCACAGAAACGGGCCCGAACCCAAAGTAAGCAATATGGCCCAAATCAGAAGAATCGTGTCGACCTCATTTGTAATTTTAAATTTTTTATTTTTAATTCAATTAGATAAAAAATTAAATTGTTAATTTTATTAAAAAATTAAAAAATTTCTTTTAAATATGAATAAATAGACTAATTTAAAATTATTTAAATATATTAATAATTTTATGGGACAAAAATAACAATAAAAATAAAAATTATACACAAAATGGTTTGAAAAGAAACTGTATAGTATACTTTTAAGTAATGAGTGCCCATTATGTAATCCTCCATAGGATAGGAATTAACTGGATAAATACAGGGCAATGCTTTGAGGGGCAATTCATTCCTATATACATCAAGGGAACAAGAATAAACTTTACATCATGGGGTAGCTTGGGTGCAAAAATGGTTCCTTCCATGCTGACGAAGAAGCAAGAAACAATAAAACTAGTAGAGAAGATCAGCTTCAAGTTTTGGGTTGAGAGTTTTATTTAACCTTCAGTTTCTGTTTAGCCTCCAGCAGTGAGGAAATTTGGGCACACTTCTTTCTCATTTCCCCCAAATCCTTCTCCAGTTTGTCGATCTATGATTTCCATGAATGGTAAAAGAATTTAGTACCAAATTTATTAATTGATGCCTACAAAAGTATTCATTCTTTCAAAGCCAGAAGGACTCATTCGCGAGTAATGCGTACCGTCTGTTTCAATTCAGCCTCCTCCTTTCTGTATTCCTCACACCTGCATCAGAGGATATCATCAGGCTTAACCGAATTATAGATGCATAATAAGTGGTAAATCTTAATTAAGCATCCACCGATTTAGTTAACGTAAGTTGAAATTTGAGAAAGAAAGAAGAAATCTTCAAGGAAATGACTGAAGATGGAATCTAAGAACAGATGCTACACTTGAAATCTGAACCCAGTGCACAGACATTATCATTGGAATGAGAGATACGCAAGATACAACGTGATTGATAGAAACTCCCAACCAGCTACATTGACCATAAATTTTACCTCCCAAAAAGTTTTATGTTCTCTTCACATATCTGATCAACCGACATGGATCCAAGATCATCTTCTGACATGAGTCCATTAGGAACTTCAACACCTGGTTGCTTGTCGCTTAAATCCTGCTTGCCATCGCCTGGAATATGAACAACTTGGTCATCAACTTCTGCTTGCAAATTACAACTACTATTATGCTGATATGAAGGCGAATGCTTCTCCATGCTTGCTGCATGCACAACAGGAGGTTGAACAGGGTGCCCCTTTTGCTTATCACGTGCAGAGGAAACTAAGGCCTGATACCCAATCAAGTGACAATGGTTTCTCCTGTCTCACAAGAACAAACTCCATCTAGTCAAAATAGTAATAATAAACCTCAATCTATCTGAGTCAAAAAGCATACAGAATTATGATTAAATAAATCAAGTAATCAGAAAAACTTAAGGCTCCTTTATTATAAATTTGAACAACAATTTTATAGGTAAATATTTTACCAATAGTGTCCAAGAAAATGGTGGACAAATAGCACGTCTTTTAGGACTATGCTACCTGCTTTCCTCTTATTTATCATTCACAGACCACTTGCAACAGTTTTAACTAGGATGGAATCTAGATGTTTTGCCCAGGAAAAAATCCAATCTATTTCAAGCAAGAAAAATTATAAAAGAGAGGCTCGATTCCAGACATGCTCCTGCAAGTACTTAAAGGTCAGTCAAAACACTATTATACTTATGCAAGCCCTTGTATCATCAACTGGACTAATTTGAACACCTCAGAACCTAGTTGTGAAGGAAAAAACATTTTCCTTAGTTATGCCAGCTGTTTTAAGAGCAAGGATTTAAGAATTCAAATTCTGCAGAAATATTCACCTCGGTTCAGCAAATCAAGAACATAAACAACAAAAATAAGTGCTCATGAAGATAATGCCACCTATGTCTCATACATATAGTTGCACCCAAATGAGACCAGCCAGTACATAAAAGAAGAGTTAGAAATCTTCAAGTAACAGTAAAGGAAAGTTGAAAGGAGGCATGTGAGATATCCTTTAAAATACCATACAAACAAGAATTAGCTGTCAGTTGTGAGATAATCTTTAAAATACCCTCATCTTGTAATGAAAAGTTTATCAAATGGAGAAGTCAATACCGACCTCCCACCCCCTTTCCCCCCTCACAAAAAACCTCAGAATTGTCATTCGGGTCTGCAAAAATTGAATAGCAATCTAAAAGCAATGTATGATAAGGACCAAACCAGTAATCTGCGACCATCTGTTTTAGTCTATTTTCCAGCCGGACAGACAGTGATGACCTCTCAAAATCCTGCTTGTCATGTGCTGGTTCTATAAAGTCTGCTTCAAGAACACCTGCAATATAAACAATGAAGCCATAATATAAGTAACAGAAAAACTGAGTGGATACCTAACAAAAAAAATCTAGAGAAAAAGCATATTACCAACAACACCATTCCCTTTTGAAGAGCCATCACCAGTTACTTTCCAGAAGGGCTACATCAATGTGAACAGACTTGCTAAATCAGTAACATAATCAAGTATGTCAATGTTATTCAGAACATGCAGAACCCCTTATCATACAACTGGCAGAAAGTCCTCTAAATAACTTCAAATTTCCAAGGTACCAAACTTTCAAGCAAACTTGAACTCATTGAAATTAGTTGCATTACTAACATCACCAAAGTTCCACTAACATTCAAAGTTTAAAACCTTAAGTTCCATAAGTATTCAAAGTTTAAAACGTGGTATTCATACAGGGCTTAAATGATACTGATCTATAGTCAGATCATCAGAGCATAATAATAAAGTAGCACCTAATTAGATAAACAAAAAAGAACGAAAAGTTAAGATGAGTAGTATCAAAACATACCCTGATAAGGCGATTTTTATGGTATACATTAAATCCTGAAACTCCAAGAGAAGGGGCCTCTTTTATAAATCCAATGGTAGTTTCCACTGCACACTATATTAGAAGAAGAACTCCATAAGTTTCCAAAGTAACCATTATCTCTAAAGTAGCAATAATAAATTTAGATTTGAAGGTAACAACCTTGAAAGTAAATCTAGCAAAGAATAGAAACACGAGAAAGAAATAAGAAGACTAGAACACAATTGTCAGCAGCAGGGAAAAGAAAGTTTCAAAATGGATGACATTTAAGGAAAAAAAAAGATGTGGGACAAGGAATCTATCTCAAACACACATGCAAAAGAAAAAAGGTGAAAACAACAGAAAATATCCTAGCAAACTATGTCTTACCTCTTTCAATCCAGTAGTTACTTGGGGCTTGTATGTTACAACCTTTGGATACCTCAATTCATCAGCGATGTTGAACTGCTGGACAGGTTTCCCTCTTAATATGATTTGAAAGTTCTTAAATTTTCTGAGGTACAGCATTGAAGCATATGCCTAGGCAGGGAAGAGAACTACCATTTGATGAGTCCAATGATATCAAGCAGTTTCAACCAAACTAAATAAGTCCAAAACTATGAAATGTTACCCTCAACGAATACAAGATGTGGTAAGAAATATGGGATTGAAGTTCAGCAATCTTTTTATGTAATTTTGTAGCTCCACGAAGGGCTTCATCTCTGAGTCGTATATCCTTTTGAAAAAGCACAGAGAAAAACAGTAAACACCTTGAGGTTAAAATTCTTTTATCTATTATATGTAGAAATGAAATCACCAAAAAGAGAAGAGCAAAAGATATGCCTAATACACAAATATAAACGTGTGTACACATGTACCTCATAAATACTGTAATGACAGGGTTATCAAAAGCTTTCAATTCAAAAGTAAAGGCATTGAGAGATCCAATGCCTAGGTCAGAGCACAAACATGCGAATGCTGGTGCATGTTGCTTCTCAAGATATATTGCTAAAATTATACCACAAGAATAAATTTAGATACAGCTTGTGGTTTACAGTACCAAGCACATACCTCATCATCATCATCAAAAGCCAGTTCATATATGCCTTCATCATTCAGCCATAAGTTGTATATTACTATTTTTGTTCCATGTGGTCCAATATCATCAAACTGGAAATGCAGGGAGAAAAAGGCTTGTTAGCAGAAAAGGCTCACACACTGCAGCCAAGTGCTAGACTAGTGCAATTTAGCCGCTCTTCTAGTATTTTATACTACTTCATTTGCATTTGGGTAGGCATTTAATTAATTTGCTAAGGAGGTAATTGTCTCAGAATCAGAATGGCCTTTGTAATTCTAATTCCTTCCTTATTAAAAAACCACCTTATTCCTAAATAGCATTAAAATTTGGACATGTTACGGATTTAATTTAGACATTCAACATGGTGAATCCAGAATAGTCATTCCTGGCAGTACTTCTGAACAAGACTAACAAAAAAGTAAGCCACACTTTACTAAGGCAAGAATAGCTTGGAAACCTGTAGCAGCAGTTCCTCCTTTGATGCAAAGGGAGACCATTCCAAGATAGTTTTCAAGTTAGAAGACCAATCATCCTGTGAGCTGTAAATTATTGGTTCTGCCCAATGACCAGAAATGTCAAAATCAATCTGCAAACGAAGTGAAACAAGAAAGCAGTTGAATTGTAGACATTAGAAAGTCATGCAAATCCTCAAAACCTAACTCCTTGAAGGGATTAAAAAAAAAAAGTCCCCAAACACTAAAGGGCACAATGAATTACCATTGGAACAATTACATCATCCAGTCCAGTTCTGCGTAGGAAGGTGTAAGATAGAAGTCCCACACTCTGTGTTGCATTGCTAAGGACATATTGGGAAGAAAAAAGAAGAGTCACAGAATATT